CCTTGACGAGGCACGGAAATAGAAAAAGGCGAGGCATGCAGTGCCGCTGTTTAGGGGTGTTATTGTTATGAAGTCGATATAGTGTATGTGTAGCAGTGTCGAGTTCAACTCCGCTCAACTGTTGTTAACCACATTAGAGAGTAGATATGTTTGTGCGTTCTATTGTATTATGGGTAGACTGTTTACCGCGGCATTAGACGAGCCTGAGGAGGACCCTTTCGGGCCATACTCAACTGATAACAGTTTCCTACGTACCTTGGGCTCAATCTATCGGTGTGCTAATTGTCACACCCATCTTGCCCGTAGGAGCCACTTGCTGAGTAAGGTCTTCCTGCTTGGTCGTGATGGAATATTGTTACTGTACTTCAGTGTAGCGAAGTGTACAATGAGAAAGACTATGTTTTTACCTGAGGTTTTTACTCAACTGATTCGCGTATTCGGCCTCACTGATCGGCCGGACTTGCTTAACACTAACAATGGATGCAATGACAATTTGTTATCGCATCCACTTTCAGTATTGTGTTGTTGTCAACAAATGTTGTCTTGTGGTCGAAGTGGCAAGATATGCACATGGTCAACCACATCTGTTGGTGACAAAACTGAGGAAATTCGAGGAAGTTTTCAATGGCTTCTGTATACTCCTATCCAAGTTCGTATGTGAATTTCTCTAATTATTGAGCAAACTCCAAAGTTCAAAGCTGAGGAAAGCGAGCATATATTCCAACACTGCTTGTGATTCCATATATAGTCTCAATCGACTTTTAATATACCGTCCGCTCAGGTTCGAACTTCCGTGGGCGAACGGGCGCGGCTCTGCTGCTGGAGTCTCTGGTTAATGTTGTTCTCGGTCCACAGGAAGACACGATTATGACTACTGGGATGCACTCCATAAGGTCAGTCGTGGGTTCGATTCCTGGTTGCTCCCCCTGCTTCCAGTGTTGGAGAAATATATGTTCGCTTTCCTCAGCTGAGCTCAGGGGTTTACACAGGTCGAGTAGAAGTGTAGAGTAATCAATAAGAATTCCCTCAGAGTTTTCGTATTCTCTCCAGCACACGTAGTTGACCATATGCATATTTCCTCACAGAGTGTGTTTCTGCATCAAGTGCCTTGAGAATATCGGTTGGACGTATGAGGAAGCCTTTGAGGACGATCAGAAATACAAAGAACATCGGTACGGCTAACGCTCACGTGATTGACCTCACTGGCCCGGACAAAAGGTTCATTTCTGAGGAGCGCCTGGTGGACCTCTGGACCCCATCCGAAGGAGCTACGGCGAGATCGACTACTGATATCGGAAGACCAGCAGCATCATCATCGTCAACATCGTCCTCGTCCTCGAGTTGAGTCCGTTGATGAGCAAGTGTCGTGGTTTGC